TATTGAGGTGAGGTTGTGAAGTTAGACTAGCAGTAGGGGACCACATCATGCGCATAAGCATCAAGAAAATGTTTAACACCTTGAAATAATCTATCAATCTATTTCAATAATTCATAAAATCAATTACCTTTTATTGTAATTTAGTGTAAAATTATGAAATAAAAAGGTATAATAATGCCCTGTCGAATGAACGTATCAAAAGATTATTTTCTAAATAATGAAAATAACATTATCGAATAGGCGAGTTGAGATATTATTTCCTGGTTAATAGAACTAGCACTCTGTTGAATTAGAATCTTGTTTGTTTAACCACTTGTACCGATAGGAGGGGTTGGACTTGCAAGTTTTGATAATGAGCCAAAATATTTCTGGTTTTAAAAAATATTTGTTTTGAAAAATGAGTGCCTATGATTTTTATGATTTTTGTATAAGAGAAAGAATTATGTAATAATTGTCTTCATGTCATTGTCTAGACTGATAATAGAATTTGAGGATGATAAAGATGGAGAGGATTCATTGTCTTTGATACTTTATAGAAATTGTTTAATGATTTTAAAATGATCATCTTCATATTTTATTAAGACGAGAAGAGTAAAAGCATAAGATCTTTAGGCTATAAATTTGGATTGAAGATTTAACTCTATAATTTGGCCTTTTGGTGTTTTGAAGTCATTTGACTCTAGTAGGTTTTGAACTTTTGCTTTTTTCTGCAAAGGAGTTCCATCATTTTACTTTGTATCGCTAATAAGAATGGGATACCTATACTAGGTATTATAGTCAAAATATCATGAACAACCCAAAAGACAAAGAATTCAGAACAAAACATAAAAATTGGTGGGAATTTCTTCTTATTTTTTAAAGGTTTAAAATTCTATTTGAAGTAAATATAGCTATTTTCAATTAAAAGGTAAGGTCTAAGAAACCAGTTTGGTAAGTTTGAAGTTTTGATAAAATTATTAAAATAGAATATCGAATAGTGATTGCCTTTATTATTTTGAAGGAAAAGGACATTGAACCATACTTGTTGATAATCCTAACATAAATAAAAAGAAGTTTTGATAGAATTATTAAAATAGAATATCGAATAGTGATTGCCTTTATTATTTTGAAGGAAAAGGACATTGAACCATGCTTATTGATAATCCTAACATAAATAAGAACGTGTAATGGAATCATAAGGTTTGACATGATAGCTGATCAAAAAAATAAATTGTCTGGTAAAGGGGTTATTTTCAATAAGAAGAATTAAGGATATTTTGGATAATGCATGTGGAGTAGGCTTATTGGAAATGAATTTATTGTAATTTGAAATGTTTGAATTTGACAGATCCTATTATTTCAAGAATTGTCATGTAATAAGATTGGAAATTGGATATGTTCCAGGTTTTGAAATACCAAGTTGGATGGAAGATTTTTATGGTTGCAATAAAAGAATTAGGGTGGAAAAATTCTTTTTCTATAGTTAAAACATTTTGATAATCTAGTTTTTAAATATAATCAAAATTTTCTCTTGAAACCTTTTGAGATAATTCAAATGAAAGATTTGAATTAAAAGAAAATGAGGGGTTTTTTAGAGGAAGAGTCTGCTTCATACGATGATTTGATCAATTTTGCAGAGGGAATTACCGATGTAAGTATTTTTATAGGATTTAAGATTTTAAAGACTCCTTTTTTATTTATGGGTCCTTGCCTTTGTCTTTGGATTTGGATTTGAGAGGCATTAATACCTGTTTTGGAGAAATTCTCTAGTTAGAAAATCAAGAACAAAATTTGTATCTTTTTTTATATATTTTATATCAAAATAAAAAATAATTAATATAACTTATCATTAAGCAAAAATCTATTTTAAAGCAATATTTTGAACATTTTTTTATAAAACTTCTTTAGCAGATTTACAATCAATGCGTAAAAGGAATTTTTTATTTAAAAAATCACTTTGAAATTTCATAGTATATAACATAATAGAAAGAATTATTTTTTTTATTGGTAGAGTAATTCTTTTAATAATCATTCAAATGTATAGATATAAATTGAATAATTTATTCTTTGTTTTCCTATACTTATTTGAGGATACCCACGTATCTTGACTTAGAAGGATATATCTCATCTATTTTAGGAGCTAAGGGTTTGGCAATTTATAGGCAAGAAATCTATTGGATCTATTTTTTTAATTTATCAAATGATTTTAGTATGTTCAGCAGACTAAAAAAAGATTTTTAAAATCCGATTAAAACTAACATTTTGGTTAAATTAAATAAGATATTAACTTGATCAAAATCATTTAATTTAATTATGATTTTAATAATTTAATTGATCCAATTTAACACAATCTAAAATAATTATTATTTAATAAAATTAATCGGACAATAACTCCATAATTAAAAATCTTGTTCCAAATCACTATCCAAATTAAATTACGTAGTAGTTATGGATAGATGCTATTTAGAAACCTACTAGTTACATGACCCGCGCGATGCCGCGAGTCAATTTATTTTGTATAAAAAAATATCAAAAAAATTAAGATTTAAAAATATTAGGTCTTTCTGCAAAATTATTTCAAAAAGTCTTGGGTTTGGCTGCAACGTCTGACTTAAGAGTAATATTTATAATATTAACAATAATATTAAACTTGCATGACCTAAGTTTAAGTGGTTTTGGTTGCAATACCAGACATAATAGCATTGGATGTAGGTCTGACTGCAATGTCATGTCATAAAAGTGTGATAATTAAATAGATTAATTAAAAAAAACTAACATAAAGAAAAAACTAATAAGAAAAAAGGGAAAAAAACAGAATCAATTGGGTTAACTCGCGGAAAAAAAACAGAATCAATTGGGTTAACTCGCCAAATTAAGTTCACTTGTCAAACCTGGAATTCGTGTTATGAAAGTGTAATAACTAAATAGAAAAAAAAGATTTAATATTAATGAACTAATTTTTTTTTTAAAAAAATTATAATTAAAAAGGAAAAAGCAAAGAGAAAAATACCTACAGGAAGGAAAAAACTAATGAAAAAAAAGAAAAAAATCTAAATCAACTGGATTAAACCATCAAACCCGGGATCCGTGTCATGAAAGCCTGATAACTAAACAGAAAAACTTTAATATTAAGAAACTATAGATAAAAAAGATAAACTAAAGGCATAAGCTTTTTCATTGTAGATTGCATCGTGTTATTCACAACAAAAGACTTAAAAAAAAAAGAAAAAAAAACAAAGGCATAGCAAAAGACTTAAAAAAAAAACAAAGGCATACACCATGGGTTAATTTTTTTTATTGCATAAAAAATATAAAAAAATGCTAAGATCTAAAAGTGTTAGGTCTTTTTGCAAAGATATACCCAAAAGTCTTTGATCTAACTACAATGCTTGATCCAAGAATATTATTTATAATATTAATAATAACATTAAACTTACATGACTTAAGTTTAAATGAGTATGACTGCAACACCAAACCCTGGAGCATTAGATGTGGAGTATTAGATGTGGATTTGTCTATAAATTCGTGTCATAAAAGTGTGATAATTGAATAGATTAATTAAAAACAAAGAAAAAAATCAATAGGAAGAAAAAACTAATGAAGAAAAAAATAATTTGAATTAATTGGGTTAATCCGTCAAACCTAGGATTCGCATCGTGAAAGTTTGATAACTAAATAGAATAAAATAATTAACTGGAGCATTAGATGTTGGTTTGTCTATAAGTTCGTGTCATAAAAGTGTGATAATTAAAAAAAAAACAAAGAAAAAACTAATGAAGAAAAAAAATAATTTGAATTAACTGGGTTAATCCGTCAAACCTGAGATTCGCACCGTGAAAGTTTGATAATTAAATAGAATAAAGTAATTAACGGGTTTACTCAAAATTAAATGGATTAACCTGTCAAACCAAGTTAATCCTTTAAGCCCAGGAATGTATCAAAAAAATCTGATAATTAAATAAAAAAATTTAAAATTAAGAAACGAAACTAAATAAAAGATTAATTAAAAAAATTCAGGTTAACTCATCAAATAAAGCTAACCCATCAAATTTATAATCAAACCAAAATGTTTAGTTAAAGATAAACAACAATAAAAAAATTAAAAAATAAATAGTTTAGTGTTTCATTTAATTTTTAGTATATATTATAATATAATATAATATAATAATAAAAATAAAAATATAATATATTAAAGATGGGAAAGTGATTATAATATAATTATAATATAATATAATAATTATAATAATGTAATATATTAAAAATGGAAAAGTGAAAGGTGTGGGAAAGTTATGGTAGTTTTTTTATACTTTTTAGTATATTGTTAATTTGAAATTTTTTTTTAATTTTGATTTTTTACTTAAAATTATTTTTTTAATATTTTTATATTATTTTAATGTATTGATATATAAAATATTTTAATATATTTTTAAATAAAAAATATTTAAAAAACAACTCATTTACATTTTTAAACACCAACATAGCAGAACAAAAAAAAAAACATGCGGTCATAATCATCATCCTCCACAAAACATGGTCACTCTAAGATTTGACTTGAAGGTTTAAAAAAACATCATCATCATCAGCCACAAAACATGGTCACTCTACGATTTGACTTATGGTTTAAAAAATCCTTCAATTTCTTCATTATCAGCAAAAGGGCCCCTACAAAAATTTCGTGTTTCTATTTCTGCCCTTGATAATGCCTACAAATTTCCACATTATAAAACAGAACCGATGCCTGAACTCCGAAATAGATGGTATAAAACACAAGCCCATTTACGTAAATTCAACATCTCATCACTCTCTGTAATTAGCAAATGAGGAACATCATGGTCAAAACGCAGAAGAAAAAACCAGACCACAGCCTCAAAAGTTCAAAAAAATTAAAAATTAAAAAAAAAATGCCACATCCAACAACAGTCATCAATCCAAAGATTTCTTCAACTCCAGCAATCATATGTTCTTGTTTAATCTTTCAACCCCTCCAGATTTTCTTTATAAACAAACAGATCTTCATTTTCATGTTTGCCCTCCTTGCCCTCCCCCTCTCTCTCCTCTTCTTCTCTCGCTCCCTCGCTTTTCATCCCATCCAATCTCAAATCCTCCACCTCGAATTCATTGCGGCGCTCTCACCCACCAGTTTCGAAGCCCGCCACGTCTGGAAAGAGTCTCGCGAAACCGCTATCGCCCTCTTCCACTGCAATTTCCTCTACTTCGTGCCCTCTTTCACTCTCTCCCTCCTCGCCGCCGTCTCCTCCGTCGTCTCCGCCGAATCGGGGTACCACAGAAACCCCATTGGCGTAAAGCCTGTTCTTAACGCTGTCAAGTCCACGTGGCGAAGGACGTTAGTTACTTCGATTTTTGTTTATGTCATCCTGTTCTGTTATTCTAGCGTGCCTCGTACCTTATGGTCCTTAACTGGAGGAGGTGTTTTCGGGTCGGGTTTTGTTATTTGGGTTGTCGGGTCGGCTGTTGAGATTTATTTGATGGCGGTTTTGGGGATGAGTTTGGTGGTTTCGGTTTTGGAAGAGAGGTTTGGGTGGGATGCAATATTTATCGGGTCAGATTTGATGGAGGGGAAGCGGGTTTGTGGGTGGGTGTTATCGGCTCTGATGGGTTTGGTTACGGGTTTGATTGGGTGGAAAATGGAGGGGTTGAAGATGGACAGTGAGGACCTGGCGAAGAAAACAAGATGGACGGCCGTGATGTTGTTGAAAGGGTGGGAGGCGTTGGGGTTGGCAGTTTTGTACGGGGCAGTAATGGTCTGGGGTTATGTTGTGGCCACCGTGTTTTACTGTGAGTGCAGAAAACAGCATGTCGTCTGGGAAGTAGAGCGTGGGAGTGTTGATGTTTGACAGTGTTCTCTTGTAGCTTTGTGTTTCAATAATTCTTTCTTCAAGCAAACACGGATATGGTTTGATTCTTCTTCTTCGTCTTCTTCTTCTGGTTCTACGGATATGGTTTGATTCTTCTTCTTCTTCTTCGTCTTCTTCTTCTGGTTCTGGTGTGTGTGTAATGGAAATTATGAATTATTTTCTTTGATCTTGGAATTCAAAGAAATTGTTTCGCTCATCAAAGAGCTGCTCTGTGTCAACTATCCTATTTGAAGATTAGACGGACATGATCCATGAGACCAGAACCATTTACATCACACATCTAGTACAAGTCAACTTCGACCCGAGGAAACCAAGCACGGCATGCAACACTTATTTGAAGAGAATAGTTTTTTTTATTCATATTTTTTCAGGGATCTCACTTGTAATAAATTATGTTCATCTTTGTTGTCATCTGTATTAGCTGAATTTGGAGCTCAATGATTTTTTATAATTTTGTTTGACGGATCAAAGGATGAGTATCAAAACTTAATGATTTATAATGGTTACTTCTTGTATATTGTTAAATAATCAATTACTTGAATAGACTGCAGAATATAACATGTTTGTATAGAAGAAGATAAAAAGGTCTCTTTCAAGAAAAAAATTGTTCAAGAGTTTATGTGTTGTTTATGTGTGATAGTTGTTGTGGGGAATTCTAGGTATGATATCAGGATGAAATGAATATTGAAAAAAAAAAAAAACGTCACTTATAAATGAATGTTGGTGTGCATTACTTTAACGCATAATTATTAAACCTAGTATAGGGTTGATCAGGATAAGAGGTGGGGTTCAGGTTTTATAGGTTAATTTAGATTAATTAAAATTAATTTGTAAAAATTTAAATTTTATTTTTTATATAAAAAATTAAAAAAAAATCATATAAATATATGTTACATATATTATAAATAATGAAATTTTAAAAAATATTTTAAAATTTTTTTATCACACATTAAAAAGATATTAGGTTAAAATTTTAAGTTGAAATATTTAAATAAAAAAAAAATTTTATCCCACATTAAAAAAACATAGTTTTTTTCCTGTGAACATAAAGTATATATATTAATAGGTTTTAAATTTCACATTAAAAAAATATAACTTTTTTCTTATAAACATAGAAATCTAACATTGAAAAAATATAGCCTTTTTTAAAACATTGAACATAGAGTATATATACTAATGAGTTTCAAATCTCACATTAAAAAGATATTATATTATCATTTTAAATTAAAGTATTTAAACAAAAAGTTTTTTTTATCTCACATTGAAAATAAATTAATTTTTTTCTTAAAAACATACAGTATATATATTAATGGGTTTTAAATCCCACATTTGAAAAAAAAAACATTAGGTCACGCCCGGGTTGACCGGGTCGTTGCACCTGCCAATATTTTGACAGACCTGGACCGGTCCAGCCCCCAGGTCGACCCGTCAAGCCGTCCAGATTTAATAACTATGTTGTAAGGTACAAAACCAAAGAAATTTATATATAAATAACCAACAAATCTAAAGATACATATTACTTACTACTTTAGAGATATAAAGATAAGAGATAAAAGCTCACCACTTAGAATGAAGATACAAAACTTGATAGGGTATCGAAATGTCAAGTTAAAGATTTTTAATTTAGATTTTGCCATAAAGATACAAATACACGGTTTGAAACATCATTATGGAACAACCTTTCAAGTTTAGAAAAAATCAAAATGACTTAATTGAAAGACCAAAACAAAAGACTTTGACATAAAACTAGATAAATATTAACTAGCATATATTTTTTACTTTTTAGAAACACATATACTTAAAAAACTTGAAAACTAAAACAACCATAACTTGTTGCAGAAAACTTCAATGCATGCATGATTGGAAAATCTAAAAATATAATGTTTTGAACTTGAAAACCATATATGATCTTCATAAGAGTATACAATGACAAATACAAAAAAAAGAGAGCAATATGCATTCAAAACTAATAATGACTGAAAAAAAAGGTTATTGTTAAACCAGGTGATGAGATTTGGATGCATAAACGAAAGGAGAGGTTTTCTGAACGTAGAAGATATAAGTTGATGTCAAAATGAGACAATCCATTCTAAATCCTTGAAACAATTAATGACAACGCCTACAAAGTAGATTTATCAAGTGATTATAGTGTTAGTGCTATTTTTAATGTTTCTAATATCTCTTTGTTTGATGTAGATGACGAATCAAGGTTAAACGCTTTCAAAGAGAGATGAGATGATGAAGCCAAATTACATTAATGATCCATCAAAAGTTTCAATTGAGAAAATTACAAGATTAAAGATAAATAAGCTTAAAGATGCATTTAATTGGCTTATTTAGAGTATTTATCAAAAATAAATTTCAAGAAAACTACAACTTTAATAAATAATGATCAGATCTTAGTTAACTTAATCTATATACAAAAGGGGTCTGACTCATTTACTTCTTAGGCTTAATTAATTTTATCATGGGCTATACATAGAATGAGTGTTCAACAACTATAGAGTTATGTGTTTCCATATGTTTTATGGATTCTAAACTAAGGATGAATTCTTTATTATGTGTAGAAATATAGGTGGTTAAGGAAGAATTATTTCCTTGTTTGTTTTGAATCGCAAAAGGCGACACCATATCCTATTTAGTTAAATGTTATTTTTAATTAAGGATCTTATTGAATAATTGTTTCTTTTTTATTCATAGAGTGCGACAATGATTAGTACTTAAAAGTGTATTTTTTATCAAGGTTTCATGTCATTATTTTGCACTTGAAATATCAATAACTCTTTAACTAAAACATGTTTTATAATAACATATCTAATAATATAAGATATAATGTATCTAATAATATAAGATACCTATAATTTGTGGTAAATGTCTATTTTTAATGCAGGTCTATCACATAAATGAAAGGATTGATTGATGACTTGAAGAACTTAAATTGCATGGATAAAGAGATGGTCAAACTTAGAGAAGAGATGTCGGTGCAATCCAAACCGGAACACTGTTCGGTAATTGGGTCATATTTGGAGCTACAGATCTCAGATTTAGGTCTAATTTATATGGATGGAAAGGTAAGACATAGGCCTACAACTTTCATATGGAGCCCAAGATCTAAAAAGGTCATTTTCAAGTCCAAATTGGAGCAATAACAAAGAGGTCTGAATATGTCTTTTAGCCCGAGCACCGTTTAGTGTTTGGCCCATATCTAGAGTTCTAGAAGTCCAAATGACCTGAATGTTTTACATAAGAAAGCTGAGACAATTTCCTACAACTTTCATGTTTTCAAGTGGCTCTAATTTTGACATTATCAATGATGTTTTCAGCAGACAATAAAAGATAAAGATTATCACCAAGTCAAGATTTGGTCACCTACTCATCAATTAGTCATCAAATCAATAGTTCCCAATTTTAGCCTATATGGTATAACCGACACTTGAGCTATGAAAGGAACTTGATTTGTTGTTAACATAAGTTATAATCATGAATGCTTGACGAGATTTACAAGTATTAGCATTAATTGAATAAGATGACTAATGTAATCTTGTTAACAATCTATAATCCGATTGGAACCTCCTTTGTGTGTGGTTTGCAATTGAATAATAAGAGTTTATACTATACTTGTTTAACATACCATTAGGGGAACCTCTAACCTTGACATTTGTTATTATCATTGATATTCCATTTCAAAGTTCTCATCATCTTTTTCTTCTTCTCCTTCTTTTTCTTTATTATTATTATTGTTGTTGTTGTTACTATTACTACTACTACTATTATTATTGTTATTACTATAATTATTATTGTTGTTGTTGTTGTTGTATTATTGTTGTTTATCATTTATACAATTAACTTCCCTGTAGTTCGACCCTGGTCTTGCCGAGTTATTTATTACTTCGACACTCCTGCACTTGGAAGAAGACATCAATCTTTTAGTAATGTCAGACAACTTATCATTATTTTTTTAGAATTATTATTTTTCATGTTTTAGGTCTTTCTTTAGATATTTTGGGCTTTATTTTAATTTTGGTTAATGTTAGCCCATTAGATCAACCAGAGTTTAGTTTTTTCAAAGTACAAATACTTTTGTAAGATATTTTTTTTAAATGTTGGATAATATATTATTGCCACATATCTTGTGTGTAGTATGAAAGGATTCTCTTATTTTGGTTCTTCAGTGAACAATTTTAAAGTATCGAAGAGATAATCAAAGTTTGCAACATCTTCCATACTACTCATCCATGTTTCTTCATAGGTATAAAATAGGGGTTAAGATTTTATAGTCTTGGTGTCTCAATATAGTCTATTAGTGTGCCAAGCTCAATCACTTCCTAAATTTAACTTTTATAGATAAAGTCAATCTGAGTGTGGGTTTCTAGCTTTTTATATTGATGGGGTTCATTTCATAAGATAAGTTATATTGCTAGTTATCTTCCATTCCTAATGATCTATTATTCCTAATCCACTGCAATGAGTTAAATTCTATAAGGATGTTCAAGCCTATCCTTTCTAAGATCAGGTTATTTTTATAATTTTTAATTGTATGGTGAATTGATATATCTATTATCATCTAATCCTGATCATAACATATAACTATTGGTAGTCTATCAAGTCATGTGAGTGAATAAATGGGTAGATTTATTTTGGGCATTTTTAACCCAAATCCTAGGGAAGTTTATTGTTATGCTTATTGTTTATACAACAATGATCTATTTGTATTTTTATTTATTGTGGTTTTATACCCTAGCCCTAGATATCTAAGAAGTGACTTATTGTTAGTTCATCAACTTGGAAGTAAGGTCTAATAGCATTGGGGTGAAAAATGAGTTATAACAGTTAAGATCAGTGAACTTAAAGGTTTTGCTAAGTCTAAACATTAAACAAAATAGTATAAAATTTTAAAAATAAAATGACAAAAACTAAAAAAAAACTAAAGAAAACAAAAACAAACATTCAAAATAATTCTTAAATAAGTTATAAATTCA